TGATATTGACACTTATATAAGTTGGCCTTCTCATTGCTCCTTCTTCCAAGTCGATTTCTTCGAGCGGGTTTTGCGCTAGCTGTAACACCCTGTTTCCCAAAATAAAATAAAACGATTAAAATAAACACATATAAGAGTTTCTCCTACAATGGAATGTCACAATTTCCACCAAATTCCACAAATCATTTTTCAAAATAATTTTTCAGTAATATTGCAGCGGAAAAATAAATATACTCTGTCATAAACCACATAATATATATATATATATATATATATATATATATATATATATATATATATATATATATATATCCATCATCATATCCCCATGTATACAAAAATCGGCCATCTGCCCAAAATATATAACTGTCATACATCAACACATAACCCACAAAAACCAGATACGCCACAGGGGCACACATAATCAACAATAAACAATAACTCCCCAAAAAGCCTCGGTGTTACGTATCAGAGCAATCCTACGACGACGCCACAATCCAAGCTAGCTAAGCACCTGGATTGTCTGTACTTCTGGAAAAGCACAGACCACAACAACAACAGAGGGGTGAGAATCACAATCAAATATTAATGGTATAAATGTACATGAAATAAAAGGCAAAAACAATAAATCAATTATTCCATGTATCACATATCCGGACCTACTGTCCCACCATCAACAATCACAACACACACACAAACCACCATGCAACACATACACTTGACTCAACAATATGCGGTACCGACTCAACTCAGGATAGATCGTATACACTCCATCCGAGCAACGATTTATCCCTACCACGCTCCTCCTGAGCTCATATAATCAAATCTCAACGTCCCCCACTTGGGACACGGGTGGTCGCATACACTCCATCCGAGCAACGATTCACCACGTCCACATGCTATGCAAGACCCTATGCATAACCACACGGCACACACAGTGCACACGATCCTACTGATCCATCGCATCATATCATGCATATACACACAAGCACACAAAGTGCATTGATCCTACTGATCCAATCACCTCACAACATATCACACACTATGCACATAAGGCATATCGATCCTACTGATCCACTCATCATAACGGTAAATAAACACAACACATATAAAGCGTGTTGATCCTACTGATCGCAATTTATCATATATCAAAGATATTTCACTCATCAACACAGTCATCCATCACAACATACACCGATGCAATATCATAATCACACAAAATCATAGAATCACGTTCTGACGTCCTACATACACTCACCACAGCTCACTAATAAGATCCTCACCAAGACCGGATCAACAAGATTCCAATTCCACAAAGAAATCAACACAGAACAGCAGCCAAAACACAAACTGTTGTCGGGCTCGCTGGCGCATTCGCCTGGCGAAGCCCCGTAGAGAACACTCGCTGGCCATTCGCCTGGCGAAGCCCCGCAGCGAACACTCGCTGGAACTCGCCCGGCGAAACTCCTGGCGAAACCAAACAGAGGCTACTGGCAGCGTTCACTGCCTAGTTCGCCTGGCGAAGACTCGCCCCTCCCCATTTGCCCAACGAATACCTGTTATCACAGAAAAATAAACTCTGCTGCTCAGAAATCAGCAGCTCTCCCACTCTCCAATTTCCATCGAAACAACGCTAAAATCATCAGCTTAATATTCTACAACGTATCTACAACCTCTTGTCTCGATTATACCCGATAAATGTCCAATTATACTCAATTCACCAACTCCGGGCACTAACTTCGAATTGCCCGAAAACCCCAAAATCACCAAACAACCATTCCATAGCACATGCAATGAACTCAAACACCATAAACACAATCATCACAAAATTATGAACAAGTACTCAACAACAATCCATCATCATCTATAGGGATTAGGGATTTTCCCCCTTTTTTACCATTACTCATGCATATACCAATTTAACCGATATATCCCCCCTTACCTCAAATTCGATTATGATGATGATGAACCTTCACAAATCCACAACGTTCACGTCTTCCTTGCCGAGCTTGCTCACTTGATCGCTTCAACCGTGCGTTCTTCGTCCTCCCTCCTTTGTTCTATCGTGTTCTTATCTTTCCCTTTTTCCAAAATGCCACCATTGCCTTTAATACCCCAAAACTCACTTTTATTCCCAAATAAATAATATTCTCCATATTTTTTTTAATTCCATAATTAATAATCTTATTCCTTTTAATTCCAAAAATCCAATAATAATATTTTTGCTCATATATATATATATATATATATATATATATATATATATATATATATATATATATATATATATATATATATATATATATATATATATATATATATATATATTAATATTAGTAATAATAATAATAATAATAATTAATAGCAATATTAACATTACTATTAATTATCACATTTTATCCCTATATATTAATATTATGATTTCTTGATTCTCCAATTAATTTCTCAAAACACATCCGCGAATAAAATATTTCTGAAACCAAAAATAATTAAAATGGGCGTTACACTAGCATCTTCACATTTTCTGCTAACAGATCCTTCTCGAATTCCAAAGGCTCATCATCATAGATGGTATTAAGCCTCTGTTTTTGCAATTCTTCCTGAACCTTATCAAGAGGTTCTGGGTCGAAATCCTTTCTAGGATTTTCTCTGTAAGATTTTTTGCTGGCCTCAAAAGCCATTTCTTTATTTTTCCTGGCTTCGAAAGCCAAATTTTTGATCTCAGCCTCCAATGCCGCTTGTTCTTCCATTTCGGCTATGTAAGCCGAAATCTTTTGCAACACCTCAAATTCAGTCATCGTCGCTGAATTTGCTTCCCCAGCCAGTGGGCTCGATTCTCGAGGTATCAAAGTAGGGCAAATTTCCTGCTCATACAATCTCCCTATCCCATCTGAAGCCATGGACAGGATGTAAATACAATGAGCAATAAGCGTCATCGTTTTGGGTGAAATCGAAACCCGCTGAAGTGCATGGCGTTATATTCACCAAGTGTTTATCGAAGCTCCTTCAATCAAGGTGATTAATATGGGCTTTAAAGTACCCCTGATAAGCTTCAATATTCTCCATGATGCCATTGGGACGCCAAATAATTATCCTTTGATGCATTGAAGATGGGACATATCCAACACCATGGATCCATTCTCTTCCCAACAACAAATTATAATTTGCTCTCGTTTCGAAGACCATGAAGACAGTTGGCTTTGTCACAGTTCCCATGGTAAGGTCGACTTGGATTACCCCCATGGTAGTTCCAACCTTCCCCTCATAGTTCGACAAGACCATGTTATGAGGCTTGGTATCAACTTCTGACTTCCCAATCCTCTCTAACATGTAGTGTGGCATTAAGTTCACAGTGGCTCCACAATCCACTAAGACCTTGTTCACTGCCACATTCTCAACTTTCACTGTGATAAACAGAGGCTTTAAATGGCTTCGCATTGCCTCATCTGGCCTCTCGAAGAAAGCGTTATGCTCTTCGACACACCCATTATTCATAATATAGTAACAAGCTGGCTTGTGGGCATTCATTTCTATTTTAGTATATGCGTCCAAGTTTTCAACTTCCATAATCCTGTCGAGTTCCTAGGGCAAAACTGATATGAAATTCACAAGGATGTCGAGTGATGCCTCTGATCCTGGGTCAAAGCAATCAGTAAGCATCTCATCTTCCTCGACCTCTCTGTCGGGTTTCTTTTTTCCCTCATCATTTTTAGGGATGAACATTCTACCAGCTGCCGACACCTTGTCAGCAACCTTTATCCCGTCCTTACTTCTTTCGTTGAGGATAAGTTTATACTAGACTTCCCCTTGTCCGTAGTCTCACTCTAGGCCTTTCGCCTCCTTTTCTCTCTCCTCCACTGGGAGCGAGTCATAGGATTTTTTCCTTTGTAGTTCTCAGACACATAGGCCATTTTGTTGGCCTGTGGGAATTCTTTTTTGTAGGCTACAGAAGAGCCTCTTTCGACATCAAAGTGTTGCCACCTTTGTTGTCCCTGTTGTTTAGTCTCGACAGGCCTAGTCCAGACCCCTTTCACTGCCTTAACTGTTGGTTTAAAGGTATAGGCCTTTACCCCATGACCTCTTTGTTTATTGACGTCGACCCTGGATAACATTTTCTTGGAATCGTTACTTCTCCTTGGATCGAACCTTCTTTCCCCTTGGGAGGCCTTGTTTTCATGGTTCCACTTAGCCCTTTCAATACTCTGTGCAGCTTTCATGTTGAATACTGCACTACACCTAAGGCACAATATAACCTCTAAACTTTTTCTCTAGCACCTATCAAAATAGAATATGAATTTGTGAAAAGGGAATTCTACGCATGGTGAAACAAAGAAGAAGAAAGTTCAATTTATGATCATTGTTGCAAAGATAAAGAAGACGAAGGAGGATGAAACAAGAAAGAAGATGGTAACTTTGATTTCGAGATTGTTATGAGTAAAAAATGATACAAAGTTGTGTCTTTTCTTTCTCAATGTGTAACTCTAGTTATTTTATTTGAATGTTAAACATAAAATATTCATGCTGAAATAAAAAAAAAAAACTAAATTCACATATAAGCATTAGCCTAATCAAAGTCCAATCAGTATAAAAAAAAATAATGTCGATGACACCAATTTTTATTAACAAAAGTTAACTCGAACGATGAAAAATATAGATCTACAGTTTTAAAAGGTTATTTAAAAATTATATTTAAAAAAAATAAAAATAAAAATAAATAAAAAATATTTAGGAGATCGTAATATACCTAACCCTTAATTATAATTATTATAATAAAATATAGTAAATTGAAGATGTATTAAATTTTTAACTAAATAATTCAAGGAAATGTCTTTTAAATTTCAAAAGGAAAAACAGTACACATACACACAAAGTCATGGAGAACAGTGAGTCTGCGTAGCTAGGAGTGAACATTTGTTTCCCGCCATCCCCAAAGTAAAAAAAAAAAAACGAACAAACTCAAAGCCCTAATTTGCGAAGAAGAAGAAGATAGATCAGAAGAAATGTCGTCGTGGCAGATTTTCTCCGACGCCGATCATAATTTCCGGTGGCAAATCAACTCAGACACTTCAAATGTTACCACACCTTCACCCCCTTCCAATCCTATTCTCACACCTCCCCTTCCCTCTATGTACAATCTTCTCCTTCATGCTTCCACGTCACACCTTTTTCAACCTCAAGGTATCTCTTTCTCATCCTCTTCTCATTCATTCATTTACCTTATTATTTGATTTAATTTCATTTTTAGTTCTTCATGATTTTATAATAGTAATGATAATAATGGAATTATTATTTATCTTCCGATTTCGAGGTGAATTTTGAAGTGTCTTGATTTGAATTAATGTGTTTTGATTTTGCAGATGAAGAACATGCTATAGATGATAGTTTTGGATTCTCGAATTCTCTTTTCAAGACGGCCTCAGGAAGAAAAGTTACTATTTCTTCTAACAGTCTTGTTAGAGCAAAGACGTTACTGGATTCAGGATTCCAAGAAGAAGCTGTTGGTACTGATATTAAAACCCCTCAGAATGCTAAGAGATTTTGTGTTTTTGATAAAGAATCACCCTCAACTGTTCTGGGTTTCGCGTCGTTTCAGAGTCCTTTAGTTAGTAGGTTGAGGAATGGTTTTGAAAATAAAATTGTGGAACCAGATAGTGGTAGTGGTGGTAAGAAAGCTCCAATTGAATTCCACACCGTCAGTAGTGATATTCAAATCCCTCAGAATGGTAAAAATGATCATGCTTTTGATGAAGAACCGCCTCATTTACAACTCGTGGATAGTACTAAAAGGACAAGTTCTGTGTCGTTTCAAAGTCCTTTAGTCAGTAGATTAAATAATGGGTTTGAGAATGAAATTGTGCAACCAGGTAGTGGTGCTAAGCAAGCTCCGACCAAATTCCAAACTGTTGTTCGTAGTATTCAAACCCCTCAGAATGCTATAAAATTATATGCTTTTGATGAAGAATCACCTCATTTACAACTTGTGAATAGTTGTAAAAAGACAAGTTCAGCGTCGTTTCAAAGTCCTTTAGTTAGTAGATTAAAGAATGGTTTCGAGAATAAAACAGTGCAGCCAGATAGTGGTACTGGGGGTGGGGTAGCTAAGCCAGCTCCGATTAAATTCCAAACTGCAGGTGGAAGGTCATTATCCATTTCCAGTGATGCGCTGAAACGTGCTAGGAGCCTTCTCGGTGACCCTGATTTGGGAGATTTCTTTGATGGAGGGGATTCACTTTTATCATTTCCAGATAAGAGTAAGACCAACACAACCATTTCCTATGTTGAAAATAATGAGAGTAATAATACTCATACTCCTCCGGTCCATCAAATAACACCAGAAGGCAATCACAATCACATGGCGAAAAGTTTCACATCCCCTTTGCAGCCTTCTAAGCAAATGGAATTTTCAAATAAGCTTTGCCATGAAGGTAATGGGAACAACTTAATCATGAAATTTGATGACGCTGTAAAAGAAAATGACTGTGTCCGAAAAAGTAGCAACACTCCGGGACAGAAACCCTTGCATATCAGGAATGAGGTGGTTGGCACGACAATAAAAAGTTCTTCAGTAAATGGTTTGTCCTCACGGATGGATCCACGTGGAAAACCATTGGGTAGGGCATTAGTTGATATTTCCAACACCATTAACACAGTTAATACAAATAATAAACAGCCTGCTAGTGGGAAAAGGAGATTAGGATTAAATATAACTGTTTCTCCCTTCAAAAAGCCTCGCATTTCCAATGTCTCTGCCTCTGGTGACCAGGATGTTCAATTTTTTCCTAATGGTATGCACGGCTTACGAGTTTTTAGTACATTCATTTCACTTTTATTGGTTGCAAGATCTGTTATACTCATTTCGATATGTGTGATTCTTAAGATTTGTCTCAATTATCATCTGGTGCTTCTGGATGCAAAAGAAAGGTTTCTACCCGATATCCATTTCAGTATCCAAGGATGCACATCAAGGAATTTTTTGCAGTTCCTCTCCTAGAGCAAAAAGTGGTCAGTATGATATATGATCAATGCTGTTTATCACTAGGACCTCATTTGGCACTGTGTAGTACTGACTATAATTTATACACCAAATTGAAATGTGTTGGCAGCATTTTCCCAACCCAGTCAAACAGGTGACATCGGGTAATGCAGGAAAGTACATATTCCGTGATGGATCTGTTGATAATGTTATGGGAGCAGAAGCTTTCGTCCATCTATTGGCACAGCACGGTGCTTCCCTTCATTTTGCTTCAAAAGAGTAAATTGCTTCTGTCCTGAGCTTTTGCTTCCAGAATTTCTGGAAACTGTTGAGGAATAACTTTGCTTCATAATTTCTTAACTAAACAATGTTCTTTTGCCTAGTTTTAATTGGCGTAGTTATACACTTACATTGCACATCTCTCTAGGTGGGTCTTAAATCATTACAAGTGGATTGTTTGGAAACTGGCATGCTATGAGAGATGCTATCCATCTAGATGTGCTGGAAAATTTCTGACTGTATCGAATGTGCTCGAGGAACTGAAGTACAGGTATGTAACTGCTCTTAGACAACATATTTTAGGTCAATAAAACTAATAATGACATTTGGTGCATAGATATGAGAAAGAAGTGAATCATGGCCACCGGTCTACCATCAAGAAAATTTTTGAAGGGGACGGATTGCCTACTTCAATGATGATTCTCTGCATATCTAGCATTGACTCTGATCACATGCTTGAAAGTGGGACATTAGTTGAGGAGCAAACCGGGAATCAGAGTAGGGAGGCAGTAAAAGTTGAACTAACTGATGGATGGTAAGAATTTCAACTTGCATCTATGAATCTATGATTTCAAAATATAAGAGGTTCCCTGAAACGCAGTGTTTTTCTTTTGCAGGTATTCTATAAATGCCGTTTTAGATGTTCCATTGTCAAAGCAAGTTGCTGCTGGAAGATTGTTTGTAGGACAGAAGCTTCGGGTAATGTGCTGGCCTTTATTTATTGTTTATCTTGCTTTCTGCGACTATAACTCAGATAATATTGATTTTCCTTTTCATATTTCTTGTGCAGATATGGGGAGCAGGATTATGTGGCTGGAACGGGCCAATTTCACCTCTCGAGGTTTTTTCGTGGCTTAGAATTATGATTGAGTATTTGTGTGTATGTGTATTCCTGTTGGATGGTTTCCTCAAATTCTGTTCTAATTTTAGGTGTCATCGACAGTTAGTTTATTTCTTCACATAAACGGAACATATAGAGCTCATTGGGCAGAGCGGTTAGGATTTTGTAAGCTTCTTTTAGTTTGTGGATGTCATTCTTGTCAAGTTTTAGAAAAATAGCATCTTGTTCATTGATCTTATTTTCTTGAGCTAATCGACAGGTAAAGTTGCCGGTCCACCTTTGGCTTTCAAATGCATAAAAAGCGACGGTGGTTTAATACCTCAAACTTTGGCAGGAATTACACGCATTTATCCCATTCTTTACAAAGAAAGGTAACTTAAAACTGGTTATGTCAGTTTTACTTGAAATAAGAACAGCAAAGTTCTTTTCAGGAACCATTATGCTATACAGAAAGTTAAGAGCTATTTCCCTTATTAGGTTAAGCAGTGGACAATCTGTTGTTATATCAGAGAGGATGGAAAATAAAATTATGGAGCTGCACAATCAAAGGTGACTTCTCATGTTATTCATAACTTAAGCAGAAATCACTGTGGCTTAATATCTTAATAGTGCCATCAATCTCCTTTTTCTTCTTCTGATGTGAATATTTCCCTCAGTATTGATAACTTTTGTTCTTGACTTCTTGTACTTCGGTTTTCTATCTCTGTGTGGACTAAATTTTAAATTCATATTCCTTTTCCAATATACCTTCTAGAATGTATTAGGTTTTGCAGACAATTAAGGTTTTGTAGGACAGTAGGTCTAGTATCTAGAAGGGAATTGGAAGGAAACTCATTATTTATCTTGTTCAGTCGTATTTTGCATCTCATACAATGTCTACTTGTACATAACTCTTAAAAAAGTATTTCCCAGCCAGTTTAGTGCCTTATTTCTAGGAAAAAGTGCTTGAATTTATTGAATGAAGACCATGCATAATAACTACAAATTTCTGATTTAGTTTCTATCAACATTATCATCTTTATAAAGTATCAGGTCATTGGTGCTTATTTAAATGTTGTTATTATGAACATATGTAAGAACAATGGATGATTGGCATGCCAACTGCTAAGGATTGTGAGTCTAGTCATTGGTAAAGCACAAGGTTATATACTTGGTAGTTAATTAAAAACATGAACAAGAGGCATAAAATAGTAAAATAGAGTCAGTTGTGTGGCAAAAATTTGAGCAAATTCCAAAGGAAAGCATGATTGCTCATAGTAATATCTTTTCTATGACATAACATCCAAAAAGAATAACAACTCCAACAGCAACATCCAAGGCTTATCCCACTAAGTGGGGTCGGCTACATGTATCAAACTATGCCATAACATTCTATCAAAAATCATTTTTTATCCAATTCGTTAATCTCAAGATCTTTTCTAATAGTTTCTCTCTTTTATTTTTTTTATTTTTTATTTTTTTTCTGTTAGATCTTCTACCTCTAGTTGTTTGACTACCCTCTATCTAGTCTTCTATCCTTACTACAAAATCCACAAGTCTTTTCTCTACGTACCCAAACCAGTTAAGTTTATTTTTCACCATATTTCTTACTATGGGTGCTACCCTAACACTCTAATATTGTCATTTCTAATTTTATCTCCTTCAGTCTTACCACACATCAAACACAACATTCTTATCTCTGTTACACTTAGAAGATCGTTGGTCTTACAACCATTCGGTAATTTTTTCCATTCAATTTGAGTTGTACTTTCATATCATATAAAACCCTCAAGGCCTTCATTCTTTTCAACCACACATTTGAAATCAATGATTTACGTCTCATTCTCTTTCCCCATCGTTTTGAACCATAAATCCAAGATATTTAAACCATGTAACCTGTGGTATGGTATAATCTTCAACTTTCACCTTTATGTTTGAAACACTTCTCTTTTTGCTAAACTTACATTCCATACACTGCGTCTTACTTCTGCTTAGGCAAAAACCTTACGCTTTTAAGATTTGTCTCCAAGTCTCCAACCTTTCATTTAACTTCTCCCCCGTCTCTCCAAGTAGAACTATCTGGAAAATAAACATACATCTTAGTACTAGCTCTTGGATGTGTTCCGTAAGTACATCCAAAATTAAAGTAAAAGGGTAAGGGTTTAGAGTTGATCCTTGATGCATTCCTATTCTGAACAGTTTGAATATAGACAATCCTTACCTCTTTCTTCTCCATGACTTCTCACAAAATCTCTCTAAGCACTATCATACGTGTTCTCCAAGTCAATGAAAATTAAGTGCAAGTCTTGTTGATCCATCCAATAATTCTCAATCACTCGTCGTAGTAGATAGACCGCTTCCATTATCGACCTCCCTGGCATAAAATCAAATTGAAAAAGAATAACAGCTCCAAACAAAATAATCCTAGAAAGCCATTTCCTCACATCTCTAGTAAAGAAATAAATACATCAATAAAGTGATCAACTAATTCCTATTCATAGTTTCTGCTATCCATTTTATCTTTTACTGTCTGATTTCCATCTATCGTAAACATATTGTTTTTCATCTCAGGTGAACTTGATATTTCTGCAAAAGAAATTTATTGCCTTTAAAAGCATTTTTGGTATACATTACAGATGATTTTGTACATGATTATGATAAGTAATCCTTTAGCTAGTCAGTTAGTTAACTAGGGGCTTAGTAAGTCATTAAGTTAGGGTATGTGAGATGGTAGGCTATAAATGATTAAAATGAGATATTAGAGAGGGAAAGAGGGTATCTTTAGTTTTGGAAAAGAATTTGGAGATTTTAGTATCAATAAACAACATTTTCTTATATGTTTTAATCTAGTTCCTATTAGGTTGCTTGAAGGTTTGTAGTCATGAAATGTAATAATCCAAGTTGTTGAACGTAAGACTTTAACGGGTTTCTTTTCAAATATGCTTGATTCTAATATAAGATAAAAATAGGAAAGGACCTCATTAACATTGAGTAATGATATACTTTGATGCCTATAGAGGGCATCAAGTGGGGGGCCTTGGGACCAGCTTAACAGTCATAACTTTTGTATGAAATATCATTTCTGTTGGCACTAAAAATTTGGATATGTTTGCTGCATAATGGATAAGAATAAATGAAACAAAAATTGTTATAAAATATATTTGTGATTATTATGCATATAGGAGAGCCCTGAAAAATGATCAGGTTTTACAATGTAGTGTAGTTATTTTCAAATCCAATCAATATGAATTTTGATTTTGTGCTATGACTGATCACCTGTATGGCATTAGACGGTCGGATGTTGTAGATAATATTGTTTCGGAATATCAGAAGGAAGGAAGTAGCTCGCATATTTATGATAACGGAAATAGTGAAGGGGCTAAGATTTATAAGATGCTGGAGACAGCCGCAGAACCCGAATTCCTAATGGCAGATATGACTCCGGGGCAACTTAGTTCTTTTGCTGCTTATAACGCCAAGTTAAATGTGAGAATATATTTTTGTATTAGGAGAAGTCTATATGCAGAAAGATATTTATGGTTTCACATCCATCTTCAGGCAATCAAACAATCACAAATGGAAAGTGCAATTAACAAAGCTTTGAAAGATACTGGCTTGGGAAACAGAGCAGTAACACCATTTATGAGGTTGCGGGTAGTTGGCTTAACTTGTAAAACTAGGCAAGAGAAGCCTAAAGAAGGAATAGTAACTATCTGGAACCCAACACAGAAGCAGGTGAGCTGATGAGCCAATTGCAAAGATTAAAGATATTTACCATGTTCATAATTTTTCTGCATTTCTATGGTTGTTGAATTGTATGTTAACGATTTTTTCATGATGCCTAGCTAGTTACTATACTCTTGATTTCCTTTCTTCCAATACCTTATCATAAATGTTTATCATGAATATCAGAAGATTGCTCACAATTTCAGAATTTCTTTATATTGTGTTACTATGCGATAGCGTCAGGAGCTTGTTGAGGGAGAAGCATATGCAATCGCAGGACTCATACCATCAGGCTGTGATTCAGATGTTCTTCACTTGCAGACTAGAGGATCTTCTACCAAGTGGTTGCCATTATCTTCTAAATCAAAGGAACAGTTTAAGTAGGTATCAAACAATTAAGAATAGGATGGAAAAAGAAAGAAAAAGGAGTTTCTAACGGGCTTTCTTATGATTCTCTAAATTCTAAACCAATCTTATTTTTGTCCTTTGTAGGCCATTTTTCAGCAGTCGAAAATCAATCACACTGTCAAGTTTGAGTGAAGTCCCCGTTTCCACGTATTTTGTGACCCCAATTCTTTTATAATTAATTATCTTTGTACTAGAAGTAAAAAAAGAATAGCAGGACAATATTTAACATAGCTTTGTTATTGTTCTTATACAGTGAGTTTGATGTTGTTGCATTTGTTGTGCATGTGGGAGACGTTTATACATCAAGCCAGCAAAAGAAGCAATGGGTTTTTGTGACTGATGAATCCATCATGTATGGTTTACAGTCAGAAGAGTTAATGGACACATTGCTTGCCATATGCTTCTGCTCCCCATTGATTGAACATGATTCTTTTCCACCAATCAACTATAACCTGGCTGGATCTACTGTAATTACAACTATCCATTATGGGTTGAATTCAATTTCATCGTTTTAGGCTGTCTAGTTTGCATACATTACTAATTTTGCATTACTTCAGACATTAGATAAAACCTGTGTTTTTGTTATATGTAGGTTGGTTTCTGTAATCTTATAAAAAAAGAGAAGGACAATTCAAATCATATCTGGGTTGCTGATGCTAATGAAACCTCAACCTATTATTTGAAATTTGATTCCTCACACTGTTCTCACCTCAGAAATGCTGCCAGCTCCGTCAGAAGATGGGCTAGCGAATCTAGCTTGGTATGCATTATGGAGTTCTACTGTATTGTGCTGCACGGTTCAGTTTCTGTAAATGACACTTTGTTTCTTTTCTTTCTGCAGATAATGGATAAACTCAAGGAAAAGGTGTTCGGTATAATTGGTGAATGTAAAGCCTAGATGGAGAAAAGAATGGGGAAACTGTTTAAAGATATGTGCATGTTGCTCTGTTCTCTACATAATATTAAACAGTTTCCGAAATCCATGACAACATTGAAGTAGCTAAAAGTTAACAGGTTTTTAAAAAAAAGGATAACAGGTCTTTTGAAAATACAATCTTAGTAGTGCGTTCCTTTTGAAGAAAGCAATCCTTGGATAAAGTAAATGTAAATTTTATAAAAAGAATTTGTTTTATATGCATTTTTTGATACAGGGTGGACAATAAATATAAAGAGGGAAAATAAAACTGGAAAGCCACGGTAATCAAAGCATTCAACTGATGTGAGTTTTAATATTGAAGAAATTGTTTACACGGCAAACTTTTTGGGGATAGTAAGTTTCGACTGGCAATTTTATCAAACTGCAGTACATATCTATGTAAAATTATGTATTCTGCGACAAACTAAATCTGTTTTTTATCCTGTAAAATGAATAATTTTTTTGTTTTGATCTTGAAAAACATTTTCTGCTTTTATTCTAAAATTAGTTTTGAATTTAGCTTCTGGACGAGATAGACAAAAACTTCCTTCAACATAACTAGAATCTAGATTTGAATTTAGAACATTAAAACTCTAGAATGGAATCAACGAGTCTAAAATATATCTAGAGCGATTTTTCTACTCTGACAAACTCTGCACCTAAATACCTAATGGTTAGACATCTTATTGCCTTTTTGTTTCGGGTGTAAATATTGTACATTTATCTAATATTTGAGACACTTTCAGATTTTTTTTTTTTAAAGTTGATAATATATTTTTGGATTGAACTGACACATTTCTTCTTTTTAGAATTCATATGACATAAAATAGGGTGACCATCTAACTTGTAACTTAAATCATAATCATAATTATGTATACCACAAATTATATTAAATCATAATCATAATTATGTATACCACAAATTATATTAAATGTTCATATATTATTTATCTTTAGGTACCAACACAATATGAAAGGACACTTGCATTTTCTTATTTCGGTGTCATCGCATAATCATGAAAAGTAATATACATGCAAGGTGACAATCAAATTCATTTTTTTCACTTGAAATTTTGTATACTGTAATTCGGAATGGGTCCGAAGAATAAATTCTGGACATATTTTAGGCAAATATGGGGTTTTCTAAGTAATGAACTGATTTTGTTGGACGCATCCGGATTTTGGTGACCTTTGGGTCAATTTTATAGAAATTGATTTAAATTGGTAGCCGTTAGAGTAGTAAACTTGTGAGAGTTGTCAATAGAACACTTTTGAACACTTTAGAGTATTTTTGAGTACTCTAGAGTTATATTGAGAGTTAAGTGATGTTTTAAAATTTTTTGAGAACTCTTTTGAGTTATAAAGAATATAATAAAATTTTGAGACTTTCTGATTATTTTGATGAGTTTAGAGATGTTGAGTAATAACGTAATTTTACTTCTTTTGAGATGAAAAATAATTATTTTTGAATTTTTTTAGAGATTAGTAATTCGGTGGGATTACAGTGAGACCTATGATTGACAACCTTATAGTTCAAGAGTGAAACCATATTTTGATGAGTATTTTTGATGATGAACTTTGACGATGATTTACGATGATTGTTTGAGTTGCATGCTTGTCTTTTATACATGATAATGCGTGCATATATTTTGGAGTTAGTTAGGACTTTAGTCTAGTGTTTTCAGGTTCAAAGAGAAACTATGACAATCTCATGTCCAGAGAGGGACATGATTCATAGAGGAATCAGAGACATTCGAAATTAGTAACAAACCTCAGATCCCAAAATATATTTTGCGTGGAAGTCAATCATATTCGTATTTCTTTGAGAGGCGACAAGGTCCTTTCTATGGAAGTCCATCGTATTGATATTGCCTAGACAGACAAAAAAGATCTTCTTGTGGAAGTTCATCATATTTGTTGAAATACAAGAGACTAAGAGACATATGAATAAACCGTGTGTTTTTGAAAAATACTACAGAGACATTATTATATATAAATAGATTACAACTAATTACATGATATAGTCGATGTGAGACTATTCTATATACAAATATTTTCAACATTATATATATTTACAAATATCAACACTCCCCCCCCCCCCCCAAGCTTGAGCATATAAGTCAAATGCACCAAGCTTGTTACATATATAGTTAGTTCTGGGGCTTCGTAGGGATTTTATAAACACATCTGCCAATTGATCATTAGAGTTGACAAAACTTGTGACGATATCGCCTGACTCGATCTTCTCTCTAACAAAGTGACAGTCTATCTCAATATGTTTGGTTCTCTCATGGAAGACTGAATTTGAAGCAATGTGCAATGCAACTTGATTATCACAAATAAGTGTCATTGGTCTTGTTTCTTCAATTTGAAATTCCTTGAGCAACTGTTTTAATCAAATAAGTTCAAATGTTGCCATTGCCATGACCCTATACAACTGCCTCAACGCTTGATCTTGCAACTACATTTTTTTTCTTACTTTTCCAGGATATAAGGTTTCCTCCAACAAGTACGCAATACCCAGAGGTGGATCGTCTATCAATGAGTGGCCCTGCTCAATCAGCATCAGAGTATCCAATTATTTGGGTATGTCTTTTATCCTCATACACAAGACCTTTTCCTGAAGCACATTTGATGTATCTCAAAATCCAGATAACGACATACATGTGTTCCTGACAAGGGGAATTTAAGAACTGACTTACCACACTGACTGCAAAAGAAATGTCTGGACGAGTGACTGTGAGATAATTCAACTTTCCAACCAATCTCCTATACCTTCCTGAGTCAGATAGAGGCTCCCCCTGATTGGATATTAGTTTAACACTTGAATACATAGGAGTATCGGCTGGTTTAGTGTAACACCCTTTCTACCCCAACACATATTAAGGCAAAATAACACATAAATCAGAGTGAATAAATAAATCTCATTAAAAATGTCACGAAAGGGCGAACATTTCTCAAAGTCAACAAAATACGTCACTGCTCCATAACATACAGGTTTTCTCAAAGTACGTCAAAACATCATAAACAGCGGAACTCACAACATAAATCAAAGTTTCCTCAAAAGGGAAATTAAATCAAAATAACTTCAACGGTATAAAATCAACTCAAGGAACCCAACCCGATGTTACATATCAGAGCAAGACCCTCTAAGCTAACCAATAAGGTAAAACACTCAAAAACTTCAAAAGTACTCCTCAACGACGTCCATAGCTAAACTGCATCATCTGCACGTTACCCACGTGGAGGTAACATTCAAACAGGCAGGGTGAGTAAAACAATTCATAATAATCAATGTATAACAGTTAATACATAAACGGCGTCATATTTATATTTAATACATTGATATCCTTTAAAATCTGCCTCGAAGGCACAACATCATAATTCACACAGAAGGGCTCATAAATGCAATATGCAACACACCCAATGCATGTGGTACCAATCATCACAGCTCAATGGACACTAGACCATCAACTCTCCATAGATCCCCATCAATAGGATCGGAGCACGTCAAAGCACTTCACTTCCACACAATGGGATTAGAGTCATAATAATCGAGGCACTGAACCGAAGTCCGGATGCAAATGAATGTATGATGCACACGTCACAATAATAACCCTTATAATACAACATATGGTGCATCATCATTCATCATATTATCACATAATTCATCATTAATCATGTTATCACATAATTCATCATTCATCATGTTATTTCATCATATTAATTCAATCAATACATCACAAAAACCATCATAGCATCATATACCCATCAACCAAAACCCACTGCCATATCCACAACAATTCATCACTAAAATCCCAGAATCAAACACCAAGGCATCGCTGCACAATGATCACATTTCGCAAACTCTGCTACGTTCGCAGACTACTCGCTAGGCGAGTCCCTAACGAATGCTCGCTGACTGCTCGCTAGGCGAGTCTCTAGCGAATGCTCGCTGACTGCTCGCTAGGCGAGTCTCTAGCGAACGCTGCGATGACAGCAAGAACCTGCTACGATCAGAACTGCTTTCTGCCCAAATTCTCATACGATTCAACTTCCCAATGCTCCTAAAACATCATCAAATCATCCCTAAGGTCATACGACAAAAACAGTACCATATCTCACGTTTCTTAGGCTAATCAGGCAACATTTGCAACACCTAAAACACTATTTTCCTCAATTTACTCTGAGTACGTCAGAGTTACTTATATTAAACATCTCTATTTCTACAGGGTCAGAACATCATAATCTCAAGGTTTTGGCCACAAGCCTAAGGTTTCGCTTCTCATATTAATATTCAGTGATACATACCATCAATCATAATCTCAGAGTCGTATTATCAGTTTCCCTAATTTTCCCACAATTAACCCAAATTATCCCAAAGTTTAATCTCCCATAACACATCGACAGATACACATAGAAAACTACGAAAGGTAATACTCCCCATACCTTAGTCGAATCTGCAGCTTTTCACGATCACTTGGGATTTTCTACTTCCGACCTTTCTTCAGAGCTCTGGCCACAATTCCACGGTTAACACAAAAATGAACTTCCTTTTCCTTTCAGAACTCAGTTTTGTCAAACCTAGCTTTGGGCCTTACACATTGGGCTTTTCCCTCATTACCCTTACTAACTCTTCATAATGTCCATTTTACCCTTATTCCACTTATTTTCATTTTAATTAATAATAATACTAATAAATTAATATTATATGCTATTAATCAAAATAAACACTCGAAAATGCACATTATTTCGAATACTTCATTAATCAACTCAAAATCACTGAAATTGAACACTCTTAATTAAATACTTAATTAAAATATTCCGATTAAATTCGGGGTGTTACATTTAGCATTTAACAAACCCGTTTCTTCCAAAATATCCATAGCATATTTCCACTGAGAAATCACCAAACCATCTTTAGATTGGGCTACTTCAATACCCAAGAAATAACGGAGTTTACCAAGATCTTTTGTCTGAAAT